GTCTTGAGTTGTTGTGTTGAGACTGGAAGGTGCCCGGAGAGATGCCTGCTCCACACCTCTGCCCAAGCTTTGGTGGACGCCTCTCACGGGCTCGTCCTGCACCTCCTTCCAGCTGCATTCACACATTGCTAATGCTGCTGCTTGTTTCCCCTCATCCTGTGTGCCCATTAAAGCTGGGTTAATGAGCTGTGGGAATGGAGTCATGGTGTGAGGGAGTTGGCATCTTCCACCAGTATCCTTTGTAGGAGCACAGCAGCTTGGAGAAGATCTCTCCTTTCATTTGAGCAGCAGCGACGGGAAGTTAGGAGTCACATCACTTCCGTTGTTTATTTTTTATTTGGTCTTTCTTTTGAACAAGGTCAAAGTTGAAACTTTACTTTTGGATGAGGATCAGTTTTAGAATGGGGCAGGTTCAGGTTATTTGTCAAGACGTTCAAGAGTCTATGGGAAGAAGGAGTACAAAGGAAGGAAAATTAAGCATGGGACCATTTTTCAGAGGTCATTGTGGAAGGGAGATTTGTTAAAGCTTGACAATTACTGAAGGATCTGATATCGCAGGTGCTTACCAGCTGCCTTTGTCGTATCTTCCTGGGACTACAAACCTACTTGTGAGGCTCCATGCACTGAGTCACAGGTCTCTCAGACCCACTTATGTAGGAGTCACCTGGGATCTTGTGCTTGGGCAAGCTCACCAGAATAGTTTATCAAGCTACCTGATATGTATGTTAAAGACAGAAAGGGTGTTGGATCTTAGCAGGCGTTCTGCAAACGTTGCATTTATTTTGCTGAATGCTTAATTGCCAGCTGCAAAGCACAGCTACCTCTAGCACTGCACATTCCAGTAAACATCTCTTATCCATCCTATAAAATTAAATCAAGCTAAATGATTATGTTTCATCAAAATGTGCGGAGGAATGTGTGCAGTGATACCTATTTTGAGTGCTTGGCTAGATCTTTTTTTTCTTTATTTTCACAGTTTGCCTTCAGGGTTGATGGGTGTTGATGCTCACGTTAGGAGAAGGCAGTATTTCGGCGTACTGCTGGTGGGTAGGCGAGTTGCTCTGGAGGTCTGTGTTGACTGTGGAGCTGGTGAAGCTTGCAAGCAGGAGTCATGGTGAAGATGAGTAGAGGCAAAGCTAGTTGCAGAGTAGTTACGCTACTGAATAAGGCAGCAGAGACCTCCAGAAACACCCAACAGCGCATCGTTTCTCTTCCAGTCACGTGGAGGCTGGGTATTGATATCTCCATCATACTTGGTTGCTCGGCTCGTAAGGATGTATTTTGCTGTAGGTGGTAAAAGTGACTGGCAGCTGGGTCTGAGCCAGCTTGGGTTGTGGACCAGCTGGCTCCAAACGTGAGCTGTTGTGCTGTGGAGTCTAACAGAGGTCTGTTCTCCTTATCGTGGTGACTCAGAGGTGCACTGGTGGTTCTTGGTGCTGCCATAAGGTGGGTGCTGTGGCTGAACTGGAAGGAACATCTGCTTTTCTGGCCTATCGGGAAGCTCTGGGAAAGTGGTGGTACAGAAGATGGAAGCTCTCCCAGCAAACTCGGGCTACCAGACTTCAGGAGCTGAAGTAGCTCACCATTTTGCTTGTAGCCACTCTTTTTTACACTCAGATAAAACCCTGTCTATGCAGAGACCTTGTTCTTTACACTTGAGTCTTCTTTGAGCATGTTGGACCTATGGGAAGATAGCAACCTGCCTGCCTGAAGCTCAGTTATTAGTAATAAGGTATTTAAGATGGCAGTTTGCATTTCAGCAGCACCTTTAATTCATGGCTCTCCAAATGCTTTACAGACATTGATTAACATAGCCTCACAACAACCCTGTGAGGTAGGTGGATAGGATCATCCCTGCCGCTGCGGGGACAACGAGGGCACCAAGGATAAGGGGCTTGGAGCAATCGTGCTGGGATTTGACCTAGCACTTGGCCATTTACATCCCATTAGGCCTTCAGCTTCAGATCATGCTTTTCTAATGCACGGGTTTGACTCAGTGTGGGGCTACACTGATTAACGAGCCTGTGATTGGCTGGCACAGACTATAAAGGCCATTAATCTAAGGCAGCAGTTTATTACCAAAGTAGATGGTTCCTTGGTGCTTCTTGCTGCTGGAAGAGTCTGAGGATTTGAAGGCATACAAAAAATAGAGTTAGATATCAACCATTGAGCATGGCAGGCTGTAACTGGAGAAAGCCCTTAGACCCCAGGCAAGGAAGCTATGTGGGATGCTACTGTAAATGTATTGATCAGAAAGGATGTAATAATTTATATATGAAGTCCACCCTTGCTCTTTCCCCAAGGGGGGAAAGAAAAAAAAAAAACAAAACCTAGAAAGTTACTGCTGGTTGTCACAAGTCAGCTTCAAGCTCTGGGTCCTTGGCTTTATAGCACCTGCAAAAGGAACAAAACATGGTGCATCAGCAGCCTGCTTGGGCTGGCGAAAGAAATCAAGCAATGTCTTCCCTCAAACCCAGTCCCAATGCTAGTTTAGCTTTAAACCAATGTAAAAGTACGTGAATTACTCGCATGGAATGGATCTGAGAGTAGTGATGGGAATGTGCTCCAACATCACCTGTGGAGCAGGAGTGTGATAAGCTTGGGCTAGAGGGTGAGACTTTGCCTTCGCTAAGGCTAGCTTATTTACCTCTTCGTTTAATGACAAACCACTCTAGCTCTGATGGCTGGCCCTAGATGATGGCACCTATGTACGTGAGGTATACGTGACACCTTGAGTTCTGGCAGCTTGGATAAACCTGAGATGGGCACCCAAACTTTCACCAGGCTCACTGGAACCAGTTTAGACTTTTAGGACTTTGCTGGCAGCTGTTTTTTTATTACCTTTCTGAAGGAATATGAGAGCAAAGAAATACCTCAAAGGCATGCTCTTATCCAGCAAGAGAAATAATCCCCAGCTAACTCTCTAAAAAGCAAGGCATAAAAGGGAAACCTTTTCTGACGGTGGGTAACTCATGCTGTTGTTCATGTTGATGTTCTTCATGGAGATCAGAGTGATGCTGTTATCCTTCTGGCTTGTACCTGCCGAGCAGCTGTCAAGAAGAGAAGGCAGTATTAACTGCTCTGGAAAACGAGAGAAGGGAGTTTCTTTGCATACAACTGGAGGCAAACAGGCTGAGGCTGGCTGGTACTCAGGACCAGGGCTGACTTGCGCTGCCCGTTGAGCTGCTGTCCTGATTCAGGCCCATCCTTAGTGCCAAATTCCCCATTCCCAGGTTCAGAGATCTCTGGGGAAACAAAGCGGTGCTTTCCGACAAATTCGGATGTGGTGCTGGTTTGCCTGACAGAAGTCACCTGTGTCACTACTTGTAGGCAGAATCAAGGAACAGTTTGGATCTGGTTCTCAGTGACTGAATTACCTTCTAGCCCAGCAGCTGTTACCAGAACTGGAACAAAAGGAAACATTACCGTGTCCCTCTGTCCTGTGCCCTTATTTGTCGTACAAAGGGAGCCCTGGATATTTTTACATCCGCTGCTGATGATGATGTATTGCTGGCATCTCAAGGATGAGAGTTACGGGTGGCAGGAAGGTGGAATTCCCGTTTCTCCTTACCCTGAGGACCGGGATATGCATTTAGTGCCAGTGGAGACTGGATGACTTTGAGGATTAGGGGGTTTTGAGGGCACAGTCCTCTGCCCTGGTATGTCTTGCCTCAGTGGCTGCAGATCACTTAGATCATGAACATTAAGGGTATTTGGGAACCATTGATGATGCAAATTTGGCACCTAAATACTTAAAGACTTTGTTCCCTGTGTCCCTCACCTTTTTCCAAAGCAGGGTTTATTACTTTGGTAGGAAACAGCTCTTGTTTCCTGTTGCTTTCCCATGTGCAGCCTCTCTTCTTGGGTAGCAGTGCTGGACCATGGGGTTCAGGTGGACCACCCTCTGCTTGGTGCTTCTCTTCCAAAGGTCTCTGGATTGGGGCCCCCTTATCCTGCTCTTGCTAGATAACAGTGAAAGGCGTCTTGGAAGATATTTTTGGGGACCTGATCTCATCTCGTTGAGGCTGCTTTGAGATCCAGAAACCCATAGACCTCAAGTCTGTAATCTAGGCAAAGACAGACAAGCAAACTGTCTTCACAGATATCAGTGCAGCTTTGAAGTGAGGCCCCTAAATATTGAACTTCTACCTTTGACCCCATCAGGGAGAGGATGAGGTGCTGTCAACACTCATTTTGGCTTTTTTACCTGTCTCAAAGATGTCTTGAAATGCTTCCACCTGAAATAACCAAAGCAACCTCTTTTCCTTGCTAAAATTAGTTCTGGAATAAAATTGGCATTTTCAATAGGGTGTGAAGAGTGTGAGCAGCCTTACCTCTCTGACACCATGGAGGTCCCTGGTTTCTGTTTGTCTGGAGGGAGAAAGGCAGTTGGTGATGTACAGGTGAGAAAACATCACAACCAAGCAACAAAGTCAGCCAGCTACATTCAGAATTATGTTGTACAGGGTTATAAATGAAATCGAAATAAGATTAGAGACACCATGGGGGATACTTGAGAGCTGATTAGAGAAAATTCTTCAACTAATGTGACTTACAGGCAGGACTGAATGCTTTGCTGCCTGTTTAGTCATTAGCATCCTTTGGTCTTTTGGCAGTTACCATCTTGCTGGAGAGCAGCCTTGCCTCTAGTGGGCACTGCTTAGTGGGAAATGGGATTCCTAGGGAAAAGGAGTGTCAAACTCCATGACTTTTACTGGAAGAGCTGCCCACCTCTGGAAATCTGCACATTTAACTGTAGCGAACTTGAGGGGATTTCCTTGTGCAGATGGGTCTGGGTTGGGGCTCTAAAGAGGTGGTCATGCTACATTCCTGATTGCTGAATCCGTGTTCCAGTTTGGCTTCAAAACCTCCGCACTGTGTAAGCTTTTTAAAAGCATCTCTTAGGAATTACCAGTTCCATGTAGAAAAGATG